GCAGATGTGTGAATAAGATCAAGGCTTGTTGACATTATCGGCCAACAAAGAGAAAAAGGCAACAGTGGTAAAATGGATGACTTGGATAGCCCCAGACATCATTGCTGAAGAAACATTCTGATTCAAAATTAAAAAAATACAAATTTCGTTAAATTTAATTCAGTAAACATTTTAATAATCCCTTTAAAAGCGGCTGATTCTTGTATTTTGGGAAGTCACTCCCAACTGTGATCCCAAAGGCCACATGTTCCTGACCACTTGGCCAAGCTCTAAAATAAGGAGTTCTCAACCTTGGCAACTTTAAGACTTGTGGACTTCAACTCCCAGAACTGGCTGAGGAATTCTGGGAGTTGAAGTCCACAAGTCTTAAAGTTGCTAAGGTTGAGAACAAAATGTTGTTGGTGTCAACGCTACTAACATCGGATGTTTTTGCTTTGACAACATATGGAGATGCAACCATTTTCTTTCTTATGTTTTACTCTTAGAATTAGAATTAGATGATACTGGGGGGGGGAGGAATGCGCATGGGAGTTTAGTTAGACCTATAACTAGGGTGAGAACCAAGGTTTTTTGAAATAAGAGATGATAAAAAATGGCGGGGTTGAAGAACTGGAGGGAAAGCCAACTAATTGGAGAATGTGATTTACGACTGTTAATTAGAGGAGGGAATTGTGCTTTGATACTATGTGCTCAGGGGAGGGGAATTCAGATTTTGGCTTTGGCTATGCAAGTGCGGATGCTATGCTTCTCGAATAAAGATTCTTTAAGGTAAACAATGCCTCAAAGTTCTTTGAAGAGTTTCATCCATCGGAACCATGACAGTTGGGTTTTAGAGGTCTTTGTGGCAGAAAGGAACAGATTTTAACCAAAGCAAAGAGCATCCCCAAACCAGTCGGTTTTATTTAGCCTGGCATTTAACTGGGTTTTAATTGCATGCAGGTAATCCTTGACGTATGACCACAACTTAGTCCACACTTTCTGTTGTTAAGTGAGACATTTGTTAAGTGAATTTTGTCCCATTTTATGACTTTTCTTACCCCGGCTGTTAACTGAATCACTGCAGTTGATAAGTTACTAATCCGGTTGTTAAATAAACCTGGCTTCCCCGTTAACTTTGCTTGTCAGAAGCTCGCCAAAGGGGATCAGGTGACCCCTGGACACTGCAACCGTCATAAATGTGAGTCAACTGCTAAGCATCTGAGTTTTGATCACGTGATTATGGGGATGCTGCAATGGTCGTTAAGTGTGAAAAATGGTCACACCAGTGCCATGGTAACTTCAAACGGTCACAAAATGAATTGTTGTAAATCGAGGACTATCTCTGTAGATTCTGTGAGCTATTGCTTAAATCTCTTTGACTTTATTAACCCCATTTTTGGGATACTAGAATAAAGTTTTGCTTGTTGCAAACATCTGTTGAGATGAAGCTTATGGGGTCTTGGACGTGGGGAATATAAAAGAAACTATTTTGTCAAAATCTTTCTTGCTGCTCTCAGTGAGGAGGAGGAAGAGAAAATCAACATTTTCTGCATGTCTCTGAAATCTGTGGTTGTCCTTATGTTTGATTCAACCTACATAACTGCTTTACCTCTGATTGCTAGCATTAGCTAATAATAATAATGATAATGATGATAATGATAATAACGATGATGATGATGATGATGATGATGATAATAATAATAATAATAATAATAATAATAATAATAATAATAATAATAATAAAGTTGGAAGGGACCTTGGAGGTCATCTAGTCCAACCCCCTGCTCAGGCAGGAAACCCTATACCATTTCGGACAAAAGGCTGTCCAGTCTCTTCTTAAAAACTTCCAGTGTTGGAGCATTCACCACTTCTGGAGGCAGGTTGTTCCACTGGTTAATTGTTCTAACTGTCAGGAAATTTCTCTTTACTTCTAGGTTGCTTCTCCCCTTGATGAGTTTCCATCTGTTGCTTCTTGTTCTGCCTTCAGGCACCTTGGAGAGTAGCTTGACTCCCTCTTCTTTGGGGCAGCCCCTGAGCTATTGGAACACTGCTATCATGTCCCCCCTGGTCCTTCTCTTCATTAAGCTAGACATACCCAATTCCAGCAACCGATCCCTATATGTTTTAGGTTCCAGTCCCCTGTGGGAGAGTTTCAGGGATGATTTGTGGAATAAGCAGATGCTTTTGGAAATTCTCAAGTGTGATGATTTTTTTTTCTGTCACTGTAGACTACAAGTCTAAGTATTTTTCAGGAATGCTAAGGATCTTGAGAAGCTCTCATCCAATCACTACAGGGCATTTTTGCTCTTAAAGAAAAAAGGGAAGAGAAAGAGGAGGAGGAGAATGAAGGGTGCAGAGGAAGATCAGTAGAAGAATAGTGAGTGGGAAATGGGTAACAAATTCACATTTTAGGAATGCTGGAATTCATTCTTTGCCCTTGTTGCTAGGCCAAATATATTTCAGAAGAGTTCCCAATTTTCTGATTTGAGTTTCCTGTTTTGATAGAAAAATAACCAGAATAACAGAATTGGAAGGGACCTTGGAGGTCATCTAGTCCAATCCCCTGCTCAAGCAGGAGGCCCTATACCATTTTAGACAAATGGTTGTCCAATCTTTTCTTAAAAACCTCCAGCAGTGGAGCACCCAGAACTTCTGAAGGCAAATCATTCCACTGATGAATTGTTCTCCCTGTCAGAAAATTCTTCCTTAGTTCTAGGCTGGTCCTCCGCTGGATTAGTTTCCATCCATTGCTTCTTGTCCTGCCTTCATGTGCTTTGGAGAGTAGCTTGATCCCCTCTTCTTTGTGGCAGCCCCTAAAATACGGGAATACTGCTATCATGTCACCCCTTTTCCTTCTTTTTTCTAGACTAGCCATACCCAATTCCTGCAACCGTTCCTCATGTTTTAGCCTCCAGTCCCCTAATCATCTTTGTTGCTCTTCTCTGCACTCTTGCTAGAGTCTGAACAACTTTTTTATATTGTGGTGACCAAACCTGGATGCAGTATTCCAAGTGTGGTCTTACTAAAGTAGTATTAACACTTCACGTGATCTTGATAATCAACCAGTAATGAATGAAGTGATTTCAGAGTCAAATAGCCATTTTAAAAAAATGTTCCTGGTCCACAGGCAGAAGAGCAGGAATGACTAACTTGAGCTGCAGGACCTGTCCTGCCCCAGTATCTTCTCCGTGGGAAATAGACAAAAACTATTCAGGTAGTCCTCAACATACAACTGTAATGGAGCTTGCTCATTATGATCGTATGTTGCCATGGTCGTAATCATAACAATCTTATCTTTTTTGTGGTGATCATTAAGAGATTCTCTGGCTGCTAAGTGTATGTTTGGTCATTAAGCAAACCAGTGGGTTCGCTATGGGTGGCTTTTTGCCAGAAACTAAATATAAATAAATATAAAATGGAGTCCGATGACCACGGGATGCTGCAACTGGCTGCAAATGGGCCGTATTGTTCAATCACTCAAAGTTCCATCACATGATAGCAAAAGAGGCTCAACCATCAGAACTTTGAATTCAGATTATAGGTCCTCTTTTTTGGGTTGGTTGTAACTTTAAATGGTCACCAAGTAGTTGATCATAAGTGGAGGACTACCTATAATGTAACCCTTACAGGTGTATCTGGAGGATACCTTCAAGAAAATCAAGATGATTGCTTGATGGGCACAATCAAAGTGGACAGAGCTTCAATTCTACTTTCATGGTCACCATCTTGACTTTTTTGACCATATGCTATGGGTACTCCATGGATCCTTATCATAGGTTGTTAAATAGAATAGAATAGAGCTGGAAGGGACATTGGAGGTCTTCTAGTCCAGCCCCATGCTTAAGCAGAAGAACCTATACTATCTCAGACAGGTGAATGTCTAGTCCAGGGGTGTCAAACTCAATTTCATTGAGGGCCACATCAGCATTGTGGTTGCCCTCGGGGGGGCGGGGTGTGTGTGGCCAGGGTGGGTGTGGCCTACTGGGTGGGCATGGATTGAGTGGGTGTGGCCTACTGAGTGGGCATGGCCAGCTGTACATCGTTCGTGGCAAGGGTGCCTGTGGGGCAGGAGTGGGACAGATCTGAGGGTCTCTGGCAGAAGGGGGTGGGACCGGGGCAAGTGCCAAGGCACGGTCCATTTCTTCATTCCTCACAAAGGGTGACACCTCCCCAGCATGCACCCAGGGGGTGGGGCAGACACAGCAGAGGCTGGTTCCTCGCTGTTTCTAGACGGCCTTGTGGAGCTGAATGCATTTCAGCATAGATGGCCACCACAAAATTGTACATTGGCTCCTGGCCGGCCAGTTTGGGCCTGGGCCAAGGCAGTGAAGGTCGTTCCCTCACTGTTTCCAGGATGTTTGCAGGCCACATGAAACCACTTTGCGGGCCATATCCGGCCCCAGGCCTTGTGTTTGACATGTCTGGTCTAGTCTTTTCTTAAAAATCTCCAGTGATGGAGCGCCCATGATTTCTGGGGGTAAGCTGTTCCACCGGTTGATTGTCCTCACTGTCAGGAAGTTTCTCCTTAATTCCAGGTTGCTTCTCTCTTTGAAATTAAGTAGAAACCTCCTGACAGTGAGGACAATCAACCAGTGGAACAGCTTACTCACAGAAATCGTGGGTGCTCAATATCATCATAACATAAAAATCCTGCAAAAACAGGAAAACAATAGGAAATCCACTCTGATATGGCCCACGTTCTTGGCATATTCAGCCTACCTAGAAAAGCTTCCATCTTTCTCACCACCCTTGTCTGCCTTAAAGGATCGTTCCTACTATCCAGGCCCTTAAAACATTCTCCTGCAAATGGAGCTGCTGTTACAGACCAAACAAGAAGCTGGTTTTGCAACCCTGACTGAAGATCGGACAACATAAACCATCTAGAGATACACTGCGCAGGTTGGACAAAGATGACCACACACTGAGGAGGTGGGCTGCAATGTTTCCCCGGGCGCTCCTCTGACAGACAAGCCCCTTGACCCCCTGGAAGGGATTCAGGTGGCATTCATGCTTTTACTTACCTGCTCATTGTCGCTCGCCCACCATTTCCCATACTCCCTTTTGGAGTGAAACACTCTATTTCCGACTTGTGCTGGGCCAGCCTCCTGTCTTTGTACCTAACAAAGCATGACAATGACAGGAGCAACAAAAACAGAGATAAATGATTGTGGGCATTCTCCTGTCGTAAAACAGTGGTGCAAGAGAGAGAGGTGCGTCTGCACATCCTGGTGGACTTCCAAGGACTATACCGGACAATGGGGCACAGTCTCCAGTCTCAATAAAAGACTGGAACTCGGGGTTGAAATGGGGGGTCCTTGGCGCTCTCTGAGTTTGGGTGTTTTCTTGTGGACATTTCATTACCCAACTAGGTAACATCATCAGTGCTGGAAAGGAGTTGGGCTTGCTCTCTGTTTATATAGAAGTAGCTTGGCCTGTCAGTGTTGGTGGAAATTTTCTTAGATGTTCCATGACTAGGCTGTTGTTAGGCTCCCTTCTAGCACTGATGATGTTATCTAGTATGGGTAATGAGACGTCTGCCAGAAAACCACCGAGCTCAGGTAGCACCAAGGATCCCACCCTCTCCAGTCTTTTAGGGATGGGAACCACATGAAGGTGGGTAGAGGGAACTAGAAGAAAAGTCAAAGGAGGAAAATAAACACGGGGGTGAAAAAGGCATAGTACCTTTGGCCTCTTATACAAGTGCATTTTTCTACTAGGAGTACATTTGGCATATCTTGACATGCAGCTAAGAGTTACAAGATAAGTTCTAAGATAATTTATGACGGGGCTTGGAAATGCACAGACTATGCCATCTAAGAATTAAAGATTGCCAACACGGTCCCTGTGGAAGGCCTTAGTAGACTTCCAAAATGTAATTATGTTTTTGCAATGCCTGAGCATTTGCAAGCTTACCAAATCTCACCAGACTGCAGCATTTTTCCATGAGATCTTGAAAACCTTTAGATAAGAATGTTGCTGACTTGATTGGTCTCATGAAAGAGCCATAAGCTAAGGTCGTTATTATCCATGATTTGCTCATATAATTTGGGATTTTTTCCCGGAAAAAAAAAATATTTTGGGGGTGGAGGGACTCAGCACCTGAAAAGATGGATGATGTTAATCTAATCCTTCTTTTGGCACGAATAGCAGATAAATTGACAAGCGTGCAGTAATCAGACTGATTGTTTTTCTAATGACTGATCATTCATGGATAACAACTGCTCAATTTAATTGAGAATGAAAAGTTGCAAGAAAAAAAAACCACGAGGTGCTGCTTCTGTGTTTTAAGGAATAAAACTGTGCACATTCAGGTGGATCTGCACCATCCTTCCATGGAGAGATTCACACAAGCATCTAAACCACCTTGCCTCCCTCTGATGCTCTCCATTGGTGTTAGGACTCCAAGTCCCATAATTCCTGACCCAGACTGAACCCCAGACTGAAAAGGTTTGTGGTAAAACATCCAAACACTAGTTTTGCAGCCAAATTCAGTGACAGTAATAAAATAAAAAAAATAAAAAAATAATAAAAAATAAAATAAAATAATAAAAAATAAAATAAAATAATAAAATAAAATAATAAAATAAAATAATAAAATAAAAAATAATAAAATAAAATAAAAAATAAAAAATAATATAATTAAATAAAATATAATAAAATAAAAATAATAAAATAAAAAATAAAATAAAATAATAAAATAAAATAAAATATAAAGTAAAATATAAAATACAAAATAAAATACAAAATAAAATAATAAAATAAAATATAAAATAAAATAATAAAATAAAATAAAATATAGACTTAATAGCAAAATTCAGAAAGCATAGTCAAGTGACAGTGATGAAGCTAAATCTGTTAGGGCAGGAGCAGCCAACGTGGTGCTTTTTTAAAAGTTTGATTTTGGGTCTTAAACCTTTGAAAGACACCAGGTTGCTGATCCACAGCCTTCTAGGGCATTCCTGTTTCCAAAGCATGCTCTGTGCAAAGCTGTGATAAAACTGCAAGGTTAGGAAGGCAAACCATGCAAAATGTTAGAATCTGTATACATACTAAGGCAAGTCAGTTTTTACAATGAACAGAAAAAGCAGAAGGGGTTTGGTTTGCAGATGAGACTGCTGAAAGAGACAAAGGGGGAATCAAACTGCTTCATAAAATATCCTGATACGCATAAAGCTTCGCTCAAGCGGTTAGAAAAGAAAGGCCCTAAATATAGACAGGATTAAGAAATGTTAATCACATCTTCGGGAGTAAGTCACAGTGCGTTTTCCATGGTAACATGAAATGTACGGCATCAGTAGGTTAATGTAAGTCTAGCTAGCTGCATTCAGGTAGTCCTCGACTTATAACCAGCATTCAACCCAAAATTTCTGACGCTAAGAGAGACAGTGGTTAAGCGAGTTTTGCCCCATTTTACGACCTTTCTTGCCCCAGTTGTTAAGTGAATCACTGCAGTTGTTAAGTTAGTAACACGGTTGTTAAGTGAATCTGGCTTCCCCATTGACTTTGCTTATAAGAAGGTTGCAAAAGGGGATCACGTGACCCCAGGACATTGCAACCATCATAAATACGAGTCAGTTGCCAAATGTCTGAATTTTGATCATAGGACCATGGGGATGCTGCAACAGTTGTAAGTGTGAAAAAGGGCCATAAGTCACTTTTTTCAGTAGCACTGTAACTTTGAACGGTCATTAAACAAACTGGTGTATGTCGAGGACTATCTGTATCCCAAAAGAAAGCGATGTTCAGCTAGTTTCCTATTGTTTGTAGGAAAACCCCATGCTATTAGGAGCTCAGCTCAGATATTACAAAACATTCCATATTACCGTTAATTTCCTATAACTAAAAAACAACTAAAATGGAAACGTGGAGAGATTTCTCTTCTCCTCTCCTTCCTTCTCTCAGACTCAATTTAAACCTGCTATTTCATTGTTTAGTCATTTATCTACCTCTGTGGGAGTAACCTTTGAAAAATAAAACTATTGAAGTTAGATAGTTACGTGTAATTGCTGCATTGCTTTGCAAAAGTGATTTAAAAAAAAAATCCTACACACAAAGGTCTATCTAGATACTGGAAAAGAATAGATGACATGGCCTCATTGGTGTTCAGAAACTCTTTCTAAGCTCTATTCACAATAATTCAGAGGAAATACGCCATACCCCAGTTTAAACCGGACTTCTCGGGACACATCATTTATAAAACAGAACAGAATAACAGAGTTGGAAGGGACCTTGGAGGTCTACTAGTCCAACCCCCTGCTCAAGCAAGAAAGCATTTCAGACAAACATTGTCCAGTCTCTTCTTAAAAACTTCTGGTGTTGGAGCACCCACAACTCCTGGAGAAAGGTTGCTCCACTGATTAATTGTTCTAACTGTCCTTAGTTCCAGGTTGGTTCTCTCCTTAATTTCCAATCATCGCTTCTTGTCCTGCCCTCTGGTGCTTTGGAGAATAGGTTGAACCCCTCTTCTTTGTGGTTGTTTAAGACAGTTACAATGAACCAGTTCCCGTGGAAAATCAAATTGTATAGCCTTTCCCCTAACAAATAAAGAAAATAATAATAAACAATAATTTTGGTAGCCTGCTGAATCATATTTAATCTTAATCCTTCCCCATTGTCATTTTGGACAATGAAGACCACAGAAGCAGCAACAGTTTGCAGTAGTGACACATTTTTAAAAGACACTTATAAAATACTCAGCCAGCTTTAGAAAATTACATATTTCTCTGGCTTGATATTTATTTATTTTTTTAAAGGAGAGTAAAGGAGTTTGGGGATGTCATTAGAAAGCCTCAGTGGGATCGGGTGTGCAATTTCAGAAATGCTGGAAAAGACAGTTTTCCAAAACAAAATAAAAACATGACTCATATAGATGCAAATGATTGAATTGATGTGAAAGATGATATCCCTTTCTTATGTAAGAATTAGCCTACAGTAGGTTGTTTTCCTGAACACCAAATGGGATAATAAAAGTAATCCTCAAGTTACAACAGTTTGTTTAGTGACCGTGCAAAGTTACAACAGCATTGAAAAATGTGACTTACTACCATTTTTCATAGTTACGACTTTTGCAGCATCCCCATGATCATGTGACCAAAATTCAGATGCTTGACCACTGGTTCATATTTATGACGGTTGCTGTATCCCAGGGTCATGTGATGTTGTATCTCAGTTATCAGGAGTAATGTCAAGGTAATGATTTAGAAGCTAACCAGCTGATGTAAGATGTATGATGTAATGATGGGAATGACCCAGCAGGGTCTATGTCCCTTTAAGAGCCAGCTGGGTCTGTGTCTCTTTAAAAGCCTTGTATAAAAGAGAAGGATCCGCAGATGTGTTTTCTCTTCTTCTGTTTCCTGCTGTAACTGCTGTGTGTTGGATCCTGCTATATTAACAAGTGTATGTACATTGTTCCTGGTATATGATATTGTAGATAGTGTAAGATAAACCACCATTTAATATAGACCACTGTTTACTGTGTCTACTCGTCGGTTGTCTCTCACAATAAGACTGTGCATGCTCTGACAAGTAAGGCCAACTTTAAGGCAACTTTAGCTTATAATTTATTTATTTGTATCCTGCCTTTATTATTTTACAAATAACTCAAGATGGCGGACATAATCAACCCACTTTTTTTCTCCTTTTTTCCTCACCACCACCTCACCTGTGAGGTGAATTGGGTTGAGAGAGAATAGCCGGCCCCAAGTCACCCATCCTGGCTTTTATGCCTAAGGCGGGACTAGAACTCACAATCTCCCACTTTCAAACCTGGTGCTTTAACTACTAGGCCAAGCAGGTTCTCCTTTAAGGGCGAAAGCAAGTTGAGGGCTGACTCCCAAAATGCTTGCATTTTTCAGAAAATTAGAACGTATGGACAATTTCTGCTCCTTGAAGAGCAGCCATGACACAAAGACTGAAGCTTGGCTGATTCAGGGCCTGCAATGCAATGCTTTAACCAACAGAAGGGAGTAGAGGGAAGTAAAAATTAAGAGTGATCTCATCCTAAAATCCTATTTTTATAGGAACCTCTTTGTCCTTAAAGGCTTTATTGTGGGAAGAATCCAGAGAAAGAAATATTTTGGGGAATATTAAAAAGGCAGAATATATTTCCCTAATGGAA